CTTGCCCTGTGCACCTCTACCATCTGCTCGTACCCGTTATATCTGTTTGTAATACATTGATAATCTAGTAAGTAAACTGGTTTCCTGAATTCTAGGAGTTGCTCTAGCAAATTAATTGAATCCAAGGAAGGGATCATGGGAACCTCAGACTTTTAGCCATTCAGACAGAAACCCAGGTAAAAACCTGGGCTTGTGCTTGGCATCTGAAGTGGAGGACAGTCTTGTGGGGACTGAGCCCTTAGACTGTGGAATCTGACATTATCCCCTGGTAGATAGTGTCACAATTGCGTTGTATTATAGGACACCCAGCTGGTGTCAGAGAATCGCTTGGTTGTATGGGAAAAAAAACTCATGTTGGAATTGGGTGCAGAAACTTACTTTCTTTATGGAAATAGCAAATATCTTGATATTATTTTCTATTTTCTTTTTTCTTTGGAGAGAAGGGTGCCTTGATTTGCTGGTGCCCAGTGAACCATCTGGGTAACCCAGCACTGATGTTGGAGAGGTGAAACAGAAACTCTAGGAGCAGAAAGGGGGCAAGTGTAGTTTGATAGCATATTTCAGATGCTTTCTCTAGGAGAGAAGAGATGAAACCTGAAGCCTACTTTTACCTTCACAGTATTTTATATGTTAAGGAGGAAAAATAGTAATATGATTTTCACAGCTGAAAGTGGTAGAAGTGAAGTCAATAGTAGTTTTGCTGTACACTGTATGTGTTGTTGGAAACCATCAGAATCTTAACCTAAGAAAGAAGAAAAAAGAAGTGGAGAAAGAACACAATCTGTTCCTAATATGGATATAACTTTATTTAAAGCAGATACGGATACCTTCCACAGAGCAAAAGCGGCAATCCAAAGGCTCACGAACCACTCATACCCTTAAGCTGCCTGTGCACACACTACATTGTGATCAAGGATCCAGACCTCAGCGAGGACCCAACTTTTGGGTTTTTTTGAAGCAAATTTAGCTAAAAGATCAGTAGCTACAAAACAATTAATCATAACAGTAAAGACATAAATGATCACTAAAAATTAAATGTATAACCTGATTTAAAAAAAAAAAAAGACATATCATCTAATGTAATAAGCTCCCTCAACTCTGGACAGAGGAAAGTTCTTCAAATAGGATCTCCTTGGAGGAAATCTGCTGTGAGCACCATGCAGGAATCCATTTCTGAGAGAGGTGCGGAACGATGGGAACTCCTCGGCCTGCTCCTTGGATGAGAAGTCTCCCTGTGGGAGGCAGTATGACCTTGGAGTGCAGAAGCCTTGGAGCCAGACTATCGTTTTCAAATCTCAGCATTTCTACTTATTAATGTGTGACCTTTGTTAAAGTTTCCTCTCTGCACATCAGTTTGCTCAGTTATAAAATGGGGATACTACTGGTATCAATTACGCAAAGATAAAGCTCAAATAAAGGGGACAAAATAAGTCCACAATAAATATTAACTATTACCTTCTGACCAAAAATGTATATGTGTGTGTATGTATATCTTTAGGAAAAGAAAAAGACATCTCGTTCATCATTTTTGGAGAGAAGCTGGGATGTGGATGACCAGATAATTTGCTATTCTAACTTTCTTGTGGCTGGAGAACTATTTAAAAGCAAATTTTGACATGTCATAGATTCCTTATAGTAGGCTCAACTCTTGCCTCTTGTGTCCAGAGAGTATCAGGGAGAAAGATTTCATGAGAGAAAACATGACTTAGAGAGACTTAGTAAAAGAATGGACAAATGTCCACTTAGGAGGCTACAGTTACTAAGAAAATGATAATCTATGGAAACTAAAGGTAGGTTATTATCTGTTAAAACTGGAAGTGGGGTACACTCAAAAGTGCAATATATTCAGAGGAAAAAATGGTTTAGAAATGTGTAGCAAGTGCACCCCATATAGCAGATTACAAGGGTCATCGGAGAGCAAGGACTAGCTTGGAAACTTGTCCAGAGGTCAGCATTCAGAGGCCAAGTGCTCTAGAGTAAGAAACTCAGTTTTCCAAATCAGTGGTGAGGACCTCGGAAATGGCTTCCTTACTCCTACCTCTGCTAAAGATTTGGGAAGCCAAAAATGCCTCTGCTGGATGATTAGCCACCTGAGTCAGGCAGCAAAAATTTATTAAGCATCAACTGTATACCTGGCTCTGTGTCATGAAGAATAATAACCTTATGCTATCTATTATCAAAGGTTGCCCAATCTTTGCTCCTGGCCACTTTTTTGGCCATGAGGGAAGGAAATGTCTCTTAATTTTCTGTAATCAAAGCCCCATCCCACCCCACCTCGTACCAGGATTTTAACTTTAGAGTAAAGGGCAACCAACCAACCAACAACAACAACAAAAAAAAACTATAAAAACCACCCCAGAAATGGTAGTAAAAAGAAAGATCAATTGGCAGTTAGTATTTTAACTGAAGACCACAGAAGATGATTTCATACCCACAGCATTTCATCCATCCCCTCTCCCCACAAAAAAGAATGAGGCACAACACCTCTGTAGCAACATCACACAGATCTTCGGGGCTTTCATATTCCATAAGTGACACTCTGAAAACAACAGACTATCAGATTCTTACTTTTACACAAACCCCTTTTTGAGATGAACATTTTTAAAAGGCATTTCTACATAATGATTTAAATGGGCATTTTCTCAGCTTCTTCGACCATGTCTTTTTGAAAGCTTGGCTCAAGACGCCCTTCCAGCAGTCTTCTTACTTAATTCCTTTATCTTTCAGCTCCTGTTTGACGCGTTTCAGATAATGAGGATCAGGGTAGCCATACCTGCAGAAACAAAAGCCCCTTAGCTTCATCGCACATGATTTTAAAGAATCTGTATAGTAAGCCTTGGCATAAAAATTGTGTTGCAAACATTCTCAAACAACCTTAAATGCAGATGACTTATAATCACTTATAAGTGTGCAGATATGAGTCATTTAGCTAGTGAGTGAGCTGAGCTGTCTGCCTAGGATCTGCCTTTCAATAAGAGTTTTTTATTTTCAGCTCATAGTAAGCAGTGGCTCTCATACAGTTATATTATACTATGTTTTTATATATAGCATATGTAAAAGAAGATCAATTGGCAGTTAATATTTCAACTGAAGAAATGTGTATAGATACATGTTACATATAAAAATATAGTATAGTATATATTTTTATTATATATATGTGTATATATATACATACGTGTGTGTGTGTGTGTGTGTGTGTGTGTGTGTGTGTGTGTATTACAGTATCTGCCACAGGAAGATTTTCAAATTTGGAAAATCTGCAAAAGTCTCAGAATGTGTTCCCTTTTGAATATGAAGGGTCTAAGGTATCCTTTCTGAATTTCATTAAGAACAATTATTTTGCTTATAATACAACTCCCACAATATTAAATAAGAGTTTTTCTAGAGCACTATTAGCCAAGTGAATTTAGGATTTCTATGGACCAATGGGAGGAGAGGATAGAAGAAAGGGTGATCTTAAAAGAAGGCAAAGTAAATAATATTCCTAGGATCTACCCTTCAAATAGACAGCAAACCCCAAATTAAGTCACCTGAGATACCATTCATCTTGGATTCTGAAGACTTTTGATGCAAATTTTAGTAACTGTACGATATTTTGTAGTTGGGAAGGTAAAAGGTAATGGGAACCAACCTTTCTGCCTTCGAGATTAGCATGCTTCAAAATACTGTATCCAATCCCACTACTATAAACAGTCTCCTTATATCTACATCCTCAAATTGCCATATCTTAAGACCTATAAATTCATTGTTTCAAAAGGTTCTCACATTTCAGGTCCCCCAGACCGGGATGTTTTGTGGTGGATATCATTCCATGTAATGACATCTGAAACTCCTAAAACTCGAGAATATCCCACTGTGAAAATCAGCTTATGGTCAAAGGCTCTACGAAGCAGTGTCAAAACCTCTTGTCCTTCTTTATTGTCAGGCAAATAGGCAGTTCGCTGTATTCCCTTATATTCTTTTCCTGGGTTTGGGTGGTCTTTCTGTATGAAGAGAAGAAAATGTCACATGAAAACATTCCAGTGTATATATTTTACTGTATAGATAGATGTGTTCATTTGCAGTTAGAGCAAATCAAAAAAAGTATTGAAGGTTTGCTCATATTCTCAATATTCATATTTCTCCTCCCTCTGCTGAAAATATCATCCACCTTCCTGAATCCCCCCCAACCCTAACATATAATCACTACCCACCCTTTCTTTGCCTTAATAGACACAAATATCTGAATTGTACACAAACATTGCTACCTTTATCACTATTTAAAGCCCTTGCATATGACCATGGAAATAAGTCCTTGAAAACCCCACTAATTGGCAACGGAATAGTTTCTTTTGCTCTAGTAATCCTAGCACACTGGAAAGAAACCCATGGATCTCAGAAATACTTACTGTTTGTATGCCTCCAAACATATTATATCTAATCTTAATGGAGCCACAGTGTTGATAACCTGGAAGTGATTGTCTTTCGAAAATGACTTCCATGGTTCCCTCTGGCTGATTCCCTTTCTGGACACCATAGGAAGTCAGGCACACAGGACAGACTGGCTTATATGTCATGGCTTTGTTGATACAAGGGGCGCAGAATTGGTGCTTGCACTTTGATAGCACTTGTTTGTTACTAATGGGCTCCATACAGATGACGCAAATGTCCTCTTCCTTGTCCAATCCTGATGCCCCAGAACTGGCAGAGCACCGAAATGTTGGTGAAGCTATTTCTGAGTCATTAACATCGATGTCCATGGGCGTTTCATTATCTTCATTCCATTTCTCTCCAGGTAATGAGGACATTCCCCCTCTTTTTAAGACATACTGCTTTGCCTTTGCAAGTTGATTTGGCAACCCAATCAAAGTCATGGACTCTTGATTTAGCACTAAGTGTACATCTGGATGCCTCTTATTAAAGTCATCAGTGAAGCTGGTGCCACTTAAGTGCATTCTTCCCTTGCCCAAAGTTTTCAGTGAAAGAAACTCTGTCATTAGCTGACATGAGACAGATTGATAGGCATCAATGAAACTTGCATAAGCATGCATAGACAGATCTAACTCCTTGTCCTTAGGTTCAAATAGGATGTGAGTTTTCCAACTTTCGCTCAAAATCTTACTTTGAACGTTGTATCTTTTTTCTATCTCTGATATCTCCTGGAGTAATTCAGCTTCTAAAAGCTTATAGTGAGCATTGGTAATCGTAATTCGTCTCATAGGACTCCAGAGATTCAATATTTTCACAGGTGCCTTGACAAGACTTTCAGAGATCGGGGAGGCAAGAAAATGTTTGGCAGCTGAAATGTTGTCCTGAGTCCCGTGGAGAGTTAATTTTCCTCCATGCTCCTCTATATGGAGCTTTGTGAACTGGTGATTCAATTCCTGTTTGATTTTATTTGCCTGCTTACTGTCTGCTAAAGCAACACTTTCCTGCTGCAGAGTGCCCACGCTCTTCTGAGTTTCACTGATGAAAGACTCTTGAGCTGCTCTGAGGTTACCTAAGTGACTTGAGGTGAAGTCTGCAGAGACTGAATTCGGAGAACTCTCTTGACTTTTTATTTTTACAGCAAGTCCTTTCTCTTTTGAGTCCATTTTCTCAGGATATTTCTCAGGATATTTGGAGTATTCAGACAAAGGCAAAGGAACTTCACAATGGTCGCTTTTCTCTTCTGACCTGGTTTTTGGGTCAAAGGGAGAAACACAGCGGTTCTGGTCCTGCTGATGGATTGGCTCCCTCTCTGTTCTCAAAGGGGAAGATCCATGTTTCTGCTCACTTTTTAGGAGTTGCTCATTCAAGAAGCCGTATATTTTTTCAATATCTTTAAAGTCACCACACACCCTCTCAATTCCATCGTAGCTCTCCAATTTTTTGACATTGGGGCAGAGAGTGGTTATGTGTTCCCTCTGCTCTTTAGAGAACAGGTTACAGTTCAAGTCAGCTGTGACGGCAAGAAAGATCTGAAAATTTAAAAGGAACAAATAAAATTTCTCAGGCCCACAGTTTTTCCTCAAGAGAATGTCTGGAGACTAGAGAAACAACCCTTAGCAGAAGGTGACTTCTTTCAAATCCTTTTCATAGACTATGTAGCACTACAGCTCCAAGGTTCCCAGCCCTGTCTGCACATTAGAATCACCTGGGGAGATAAAAGGGGGGCGGAAAAAAAGCCAAGGCCCAGGCACACCTCCAGAGATTCTGATATAAATGTAGAGCCTGGGCATGAGCATTTTTAAAAGCTCTGTGGAACAAGAAGTCTAGATTCTAGAGCTGCCACTCTCTGACTTTGGGGACGGGATGGAGGGGAAGGCACTTGGACTTTCTGGGCAAGCTGCTGTGGTTCTCATGGAAGAGTCTGTGAGCCTGGATGGTAGCCATAAATCTGAAGGAAAAAAAAAATGAATAAACACCAAACTGCGTTTAATGCTGGGCCCTCTAAACCCTAGCCTTTAGAATCTCAAATATGACAAGCACACCAGACTAGGCTAAAAAAGACAGGCAAATGGATTGTAATACAAAAGCAAGATTTCCAATGTGTTTTCCTTCTTCGAAGACTTTTCACATGCCATTTCCTCTGCATGTAACGTCTTTCTCCTAGGTCTTCCTTCCACATGTTTCCTGAATCCAGTCACTTCTCACACCTCCATCAGGACCATCCAGAGTCCAAGCCATTATCATCTTGTACCTGGCCCCCTGCAACCTCTCTTAATTACACTCTGACCTTCCACTCTGGCTCCTTCCTACATTCAGTTCACACAGCAGCCAAAGTGATCCTTTAGAAGATTTAAATCCGATCACTCCACTCCCTTGGCTCAAAACCATCTGATAATCCCCTAACATTTAAATTAAAATCCAAAATCTTTACCTTCATCCCCAAAGACCAGACTCTTCTTGGAGAGGTTCCTCTTTCCTGTCATTCTCTCCCTTGCTCACTGCCCTCCAGCCACACTGGCCTCCCTCATTGAAGTCCCTGGGGCTCAAGATGTAAGCTCCTGTCTTGGGGCCTTTGCACTTGTGCTTCCCTCTGCCTACAGCATTCTTCCCTCAGAAATCCACTTTGCTAGCTTCCTTACTTCATTCATGCCTCTATTCAGATGCCACCTCATTAGAGAGGTTTGCCCTGATAACGTATTAAAAGCAGTGGTCCTGTCATTGTCTGCCATTTATCCTGCTTTATTCTTCTTCGCAGCACTTATCACTGGCAGACATTTTAGGATAAATCTGTTTTTCTGTTTGTTTGTTTTTTGATTTTTGTTTTTTGTTTTTTACTATTAGTGTGCTTCCATCACTAGAATGTAAGGTCTCCGAAGGCAGGGTTTCCTATGCTCCTGGCTGTATCCCCAGCTCCTGTGACAGTGTCTGGCACACAGTAGATAGCTGGTATTGATAGTCAAATGATTCTTTTCATGGCTGGTTCCTTCTCATCATTCAAGTCTCAGGTCAAATGTCACCTTAGAAAAATCTCTGACTTCTGGTCAGAAGTAGCACCTCC